TTGTAACGGATTTTTCCGTTGAGTGTTGCCGCATAAAAATAATTGCATAGGCAATCGATTAAGGTCGATTTTCCTGTACCGGCAGGGCCGATGAGCAAAATAACTCGGTCTTCCCTTTCCCTATTATCTACAACATTATTAAAGGTTATACTAAAGCAAAACCAGATTCATACATTTGCAAGCTTTGACAAAACTGTACCCTTCAGGTTGATAGAAGTAAAAAATTTACGTCGTCATTGTTGCCTAAAAAATTTTTAATAATATACCTTCTGCAGCGCTGACAAAAACTGTCCGAATGTTGTCGACACCAAAAGCTTCTCCAGCAAATTTACTTATAATCTGAGACTTCTGATTTTCAGTCATCCTTAAACTAATGATGAGATGCTGTACATTGCAGTACTAATACACGAACAAATACGAAGTTATGTTATAAAATGCATTAACCAACACTTCAACAGCCAAATTTACTTACAGTTTTTTTTTTTTCTGAAAAAAATATTTGTCGCACAGTATAAAGAAATTTTACTTTATAACAAATTATTTATTGATTAAGTTTCTGAATCTTTGCAAAAATTTGATTAGTTAAAAATGGGAGGGAGTATAGTGCTTAAAAACTGTATGAATACAATATATGTATCTCTCCAACACAGCAATCTATTTTAGGTTTGGGATCAGAAATAGAAACTTTTTTTCTTTCCTTTTGAATAAATAAAGAGACGAAGAAAATAAAGAAGTAAACGAGAAAAAAAACTCTTTTTTTTTTTTTTTGAAAAAATGCTTAGTAAAAATCTGTTTTTTAGGTATTATACAATCAAAAATAATTCTTTTTTTTTTTTTTTAAATTTTATCTAAAAACAACTTAATCTAATTATACATAATTTGTTTTCTTTTTTTTGTACGTGTTTCATCATGCGTAGTTGGTTGTAAATTTTTTTTGTAAATAAAACTGAATAAATAAAAAAATACGGTTAAAATTTGTTTAAAATATTTTAAAAATTAAAATTAAGAAGATGGTAATGCAAACAAATGAAAAAGTGATCAACAAATATGTGGTCTTTGGAACGTAAGAAAAATGGTTACATCAACAACTTTACCATTCAGTTCCCATAGATTAGTATTGGGCCGTCGATGTTCACTTACGTTTTACTCGACAGTAATTAATTAATAACGCTGAATGACTGAATCGATCTTAACAACTGCTCAAATTTTAGGGTTTTAAAAGTAAAACAAAAAAAAAATTTTGGAAGTTTTACAGTTTATATTCTATTCAAACGTAAAAAAAACAAAAACAACAAAAAACAGAACAAAATCTTGTAATTTTATTAATCATTTTCGTCAGCATTATCCCCCCCAAAAAAAAAAAAAAAAAA